AAGAAAAGATGAGACAAGGAAAAAGGAAAGCAGATGAGTGATAATACCGACATTTCTCGAACTGAGTGACCTCTGTCTTTCAAAGTCCATTAAGTGCCCTCGAGTCACCCTATCATATACAGAATATTATTTATCAGCAAATATAATTAAACAATTCAATTAAACTTATAGACAAGTTGTTATTACTAGTGCATCAGATGTATTTACGTATTATCGATAAGTATCAATAATTATCGATTAATATTCAATAATTACTGTAATACGATAATTTTAATTTTATTGAACTTTGATCATTTCTATTATTTAGACAATATTCATTATCCCTTATTTCATCTGCTATTTATAAATTAAATCAATGATTTAAAATTTTTAATAATTTTATTAGTTATAAATTTTTTTTAATTCTAATGTTCTTTAAAAATAAGTTAAATAGGTTAAATTTAGAAGAATTATATAAGAAAAAATATATTAAAAAATATTACATTATGAATAATAAATTTTATTGATTTGTTAACTTTTTTATAATATATTCACGATTATTTACACGAATTTCAATTATAATTTGGATTCTTATAAAATATTTTAAATACTATAAATATAAAAATTTTTTTCCCATTCATGCGATATTTATAAGAATTTCGCATTTAAATGAGATTCATCGTAACATTAATATCTGTTTAATATGAATAATTAATTAACACTATTTACAATTTGTCAAACATAATACGAAGTGTAATGAATTAAATATAATATCATTTTATAATGTTTGTGTGTAGGGATATAGATATATCTATATATATTGTGCATGTCGTTTATCTACTAGCTAAAATTCAAATTGAATTATTCATACAAAAATGAATAAAAAAATTAAAAAATTTAATTAAACGTGAAAAACAAACAAATGTGAAAAATGAAAAAAAATGATAAATTATTAGATGAATTGCACAAAATAGTACACAAAAAATAATATGTAAAATCATTTGCTTATAACCACAAATTTTGCTTTTCATTTTGTTAATGCTGTAGTAGTTTACAATACGGATTCACAAAGATAGGAACATGTATTACATGTTTAATTGAAACATTAAAAAATATATAATAATTAACGATAATAACATGTGATATAAACATGTACATTTTCTTTTGCTTTTTTCTTTTTTTTTTCATTTTTAATATAAATTACAAATTTTATAAAATTTACAATTTTATATTAAAATTTCATAAGTATTTATCATTAATAAAAATGAATTTAGTCTTTAAAGTCTACTTATATAAGTTTTTTGAATTTATATATATATTTTTTTATATTATATCATTTGATTTATCTTTTTTTTTTATTTCAGTTCATTCGATCGATGTTTTCGAATACTGTCTTCGTAAAAATGTTTGAAGTCATTTATATTTGTTTCTTAATCAACCCCCTTTTTTTGTTTCATTCTAATATTTATCCATTAACTCGAGATCGGCTACGAATATATAGTTGCTAGGAATATGAAATTCTAATCTTATTTCATCATGCAATGACCAATGTAGACAATTTGATAATAACTCTATTATACAATCTAATTTAAAAATTTTATAATATAAATATTTAAATAACATGAAAAATTTATATTGAATTACGTATTTAAAAAAGATTAAGAAACATTGAATTAATACATCCAATAAAACTGTAATTTTGTAATTTTTTTATTATTATTCTATTATATATTATTATTTTTCTACATTATATGTTATTATTTAATATAATAATATTTTGAATTCTGATCGAAATTTCATCAATTCTTCTAAATTGATTATTGCTATTCTCACTATTTCTTTAAAATGTAGATTATATTATTTCAGTCTATTTCTCTATTCATTTCAAGTTGAAAGAATTCCTTATAACCTAGCTTTACAAATTTCCGTCTCGATTTATAATTATATTACTGTATTGAGACTATTTAAAAAAAATGGATTTTAATAATATTCATTAAAAATAAGTTCATATAATCTTAGTTAAGATTACTGTACTACTGCTAATGGTGGATTATGTTGTACCGGTTGTGCTCGAATCATGCCTGCCAGACGCCTAAATGGCAGTTGAAGATGATAATAGGCACAGTATGGCAATGGATCCCAATAAGAGAAAAGCGCTTCTCGTTTGTCAAGCGCATTATTTAATAAATGAGGGATCGTTTCTCCTGTTGACTGTTTTAGTGCATAATTCATTGTATCTGGCGACAAATGTCTTTCTAACGTAGTCAGCATTCCAGAATTTTGCCTGGAAAAATGTCTACATGATCTCCATACCAACCGAGGATGAATTTCCGTATAACAAATATAAGGCAAGCTAACGCCTACGCGACATCCGATCGGCACTAATTCTCCTTCCTTTGTTAAGGCCAATCTGAAGCTCAAGTGTCCATTGATTTTAGTGCTAAACGCACGAACAAAAAATCTGTCGAGCCATTTTATTATTTCTGGTCTTTCTTCAGGTATAAAACCTCGTCCCTCATCTACCAAGCAGGTTACATTAGCCACTATCTTCGATTCTTTCACCGTAGTGCAAGTGATATAATGTTTCCCACTAGGATCATGAATTACTATCCAAGGTTTATTCTTATTAATCTCGTACTGTTGATTTCTGAATTCTCTTAATGTTGGAGGCAATACTATTTTACTTCGATCTCTCATTCCAACTGGACCCGCAGCCAGCATCAAATATCTTTCGGTACCAAATGCATTTTGTTCGTACATTCTTGATACATCTTGTATAGAACGTAAAACATTATAATTGGGTGCTGGTAAATTTAGTGCACGACATTTTTGTAAAAGTTCTAGAGGATCTTCGAGAATTGTCACTTCACTAACACTGGGCACAAAACACTCACAACCCATAACCTCCAAATAAGGTTTTGCTAAAGCATCATAATAAGCTGTATTATTAGCACTCACCGGAATATAATAAATAATCTTTTCTTTCTGGACAATATTCTTTAAAGCTTTAATATATTCGATCACGTTTTCAGGTCCAGGTTTTGGAATTGTATAGAATTTAGAACACGCAGTTGAAAACTTGGCTAAACCAAACAACCCTTCCAATTCGCAAATCACCACTTTAGCTCCAGCCTTATGAAAATTTCGTGCTAAATGAACTGTCTGCACTGTGCTGCCACCACTGATAAGGATACACCGTTTGTAGCGAGTCCTTTCCGAAATTGGAATATAAAACACAGTCAAAAACCATTTGAAAATAGTTAAGGGAAATTGAAAAATTACCCATAACATATAAATCCAAATAGATGCCCAAAGTGCTGGTGCCCAGATAATGTAACTTATTACGCTAACAATGCTTTGAAGTGTTCTGAGTAATAAATCTATATATGCAGTGAAAATCTTCAACAATATTGAATTATTTCGATTGTGATTTTGTCCTTGTGTCAATTGAGTTTGGTAACTTAACTGTAATCTTTGTTGTTGCTGTTGTTGTCGTCTCGATGAAAATATCACAGTAGGAGTGCTTGAATTGTTTGATGATCGAGAAATATTTGATGAGTAGGAAGTGTTCGATACATAAGAAGAATTAGAAATATTCGATATAGATCGTTTTAAAGTTAATATCGGTGATATTAAGGGTGGTGAAGTAGATAGAGGTGAACTAGGAATAGGAGGTGATACGCTGTTGCTTCTAGAATTTGATGGACTCGAAGACCAAATTCTTGAGACGTTTTCGCTGGTGCACGCTGGCATTCTTAATTCCTTCTTTCTTTTATTTTCTTAATCAGATATAAAAAAATTACATTCAATCCGATTCCGTCTTGTAAACGGATTTTTTTTTCGAAAACAAATTCATAGCTTAATTTTTGAAAAGAATGTGAACTTAAACTAATCAAAAAAGCATCAATATTGAAACAAATGTCTTCAATGTGATTGGATTTGATGAACAACAATATGTGACTATTCGCACAAAATCCGATCGAGAAAGAATTTATGAAGCATGTGTACGCTACTTATGAGACGCACACTGATCTTTTAACTAAAAACTTTCTTATTATTTGCTAACGAATTTGCCGATATGCACACACAGCTTTAACTGAGGCCGGTCCTTCGATCTCTTGGTCTCTTATGCGTTCTGCATCTCGATCGCACTATGAACCGAGGTCTTATCTAATCATACAGCCTCAGACACCATACTGAAAGAAACCAAGGAATCGAGTCCTCGTTCTGATCATGTTTCATATTTTTTTTATTTATATTTTTTTTATTTTTTAATTTATTGCTAGAAAATGCATCGGAATTTATTAAATTAAAGATACGATGTACAATATTATACACAATATTACAATATAATAATATTAGAAAACACTGAAATATTGAATTTTCAGGTGTTTTCAATAATGATAAATATCAAGTATAAATTTTAGGTATTACAAAATTTTAAATATTATTCTTTTTTTGCGTATATATATTTTTTATATATTCAAAATTTGACGAATAATAATAATCGTGTATAAATAATATATACATATAGTTATATTAAATAAAATTATTGTTATATTTTTATATATTATATATTATATATTAATTGTATAGATTATCTATATAATTATTACATTATAATAAAAATATGAAAACATTATGTATTATAATACAAAATAAAAATAACGTTTTTCTTAATTTATTATAATGTTTACTGAAAAAACATAATTGAAAACTTATACTTTTTGTTTTTAATTATTTTTATCTTCTTAATAATTTTATTTAGATACTTTTATTTACTTTTATTTACTTTTTATTTAAATACTCTAAAAAAAATTTACATTTTAGCTATTATTTTTCATTTTCATAAATTTCTTAGTAAATATTGTAAAAAATGTAATAAAATATTTTTATGTATTTATATTTAATATTTTTTATAAAAAAATTATAATAAAATATAAAATTGATAATATTTTATATTTTAATCATGTTATATTATGTTTATATATATATACTGTGATTGTCATTATTGTTTACGTAAACTACAAGTGCGCCATCTTTAATAATGAAAAGTTGTATTTCAAAATGTATGATGTCCATACAATTACTAAAATTTTAATTATAAAACATATGTATTATTAAAATTAATACTTTTATTAAGAAATTGAAATATAATAAATCTTCAATTTTTTTAAAAAAAAAGGAAACGACAAAAAACGATTTCCATGATTATATATTTGTTCTACTTCCATAGAATTTAAACATGGATCAACTGTCACATTGTCAGCACTTAAACGCCATAACGTGTGTAGTATAACATTGAATCTTAATTTTCTTTTTCAAATAATTTCAAGATTGTTCAACATTTCCAATTTACGTAAAATGTCTCAAATAATAGAGATTAAAACGTATGTAATTTATTCACTTTAATCTTTTCTTTATCTTCAAAATTATATGAATTCCATTTAAATTTGACATTTGTGTATTTACAATTTTTATCTTTAATTAAAATCAAAGAAAATTAATTTTTTATCCATAGATAATTATTAATTTATATTAATATTATAATTTAGTATTATAAAATGTTAGGAAAAAAATTAATGTTTTCTCTTATTTGTTATGTTTCTCATAAAATTTAAATATGAAAAAATTATTTTTTTTTAGTGAAAAAAAAAATGTTGCAACACAAACTCGTGAAATTGATACTATGTTAGAAATAGCCCGCTTGCAGGAACAAGTGAAACTTCTAACTATTGAAATTAATCATTTGAGGAAATATTCTGTTGAAAATTCGATGATTCAAACACCTGAGAAAAATTCTAATAACATACTTGAATCTCCTATAGATAATGAAACATTACAAAAAAATTCACAAAGTGAAAAAATAGAGAGAAAAAATAGTAAAATAATATCACGTGGTTGTAATTGTAAAGGAAAATGTTCTTCTAAAATCTGTGGTTGTGTAAAAAAAAACAATCAATGTCAAGAATGGTGTAAATGTAATAATGATATTTGTCAAAATCAGGTAGAATTTTATTTTCATATTTTATAAAACTTGTATTATATTGTATTATAATTAGAATGTGATTTTTTAGGAACATAAAGATCAAAACAAAGAAAATTTAAAACATAATGAATCATATGAACATATGGAAAATCAACAAATAAATAAAAATACATCACATGTTAATGCACATAAAAGTCTGTTTAGTCCAAATATTACAATACAAGAAGTAGTTTTTAATGTAGATCAATATAAACCTCCAGCACTTTATTTTGGAGGTCCAAAAGAATTAAAATTTGTATCAGATGAAGAAGAACAAAAAGAAAAAAAAAATGAAAAATTAAAAAAAATAGAAAATAAAAATGATAAAAAGAATATAAAAAATGTTAGAACTAGAAGAAATAATTTTGATATAAATAATTCTGAAAATATACAAAGATCTAAATCTATTTCTAATGAAAAGAAACAAGGAGAAAATAATATAGAAATAAAAAAACGTGCATTAAGAAGTTGTACTTCTAATGAAATTCAAATAAGTAAGGAATTTAAACATGTAAAAAAACAAACAAATAATTATGTTCAAAATGTAATGAATGATATGGTAACTTTGCGACATAAAAAGAAAAGAGCTGAAGATAAAAATATGAAAAAAACAATAAATAATACTGATGTTTCAAAAGGTAGGAAATATGATTAACAAAGAAATTATTATTACAAATAATTACTCGATCAAAAATTTGTTTTTAGAAGAGGCTACCCCTTTCTCAGAAGATATGAAAGAAATATCTAGCAATGAAACAAATGAAATTCTGAACTTTGTAGGAGAAATAAATTCTCATGAAATAGACATTTGTAATGAAAATAAATCACATGATAAAGT